ATTCCTACAGTGTTACCCCCACCTAGGAGCTGTGATCACACTATTCATTTGGTACATGGTGCCCAACCTATATCTGTTAGACCCTATCGATATGCCTATCATCAGAAGGCAGAAATAGAAAAACAGGTAGCTGACCTCATGAATTCTGGTTAGATTCGTGAAAGCAGGAGCCCTTATTCATCTCCTGTCTTGTTAGTAAAGAAGCAAGATAGTACATAGAGAATGTGCATTGATTATAGGCAGCTCAATAGTATTACCATTAAGGATCAATTTCCCATCCCTATAATTGATGAGTTGATGGATGAGTTGTATGGGGCAAGGGTGTTCACTAAGCTCGATTTGCGCAGTGGATTTCATCAAATAAGAGTCAACCCTGAAGACACATTTAAGACAACCTTTAGGACCCATGAAGGTCACTGTGAATTCTTGGTCATGCCATTTGGCTTCACCAATGCATCCTCCACCTTCCAAGCCGCCACGAATCATATGTTTAAGGCACACCTGCTTAGGTTTGTGATAGTTTTCTTCGATGACATCCTTGTGTATAGTGCTTCTTTGTTGGATCATGTGGGTCATTTGAGAACAACCTTGCAGTGTATGTTGGATAATGGATTTTATGTAAAGTTGAGCAAATGTGCTTTTGGGGTGAAGGAGATAGAATATTTAGGTCATTTGGTGTCAGGGGAAAGTGTCAAGGTTGACCCTAATAAGATATCAGCTATGCTATAATGGTCTGTTCCACGTACGGTTAAACAACTTAGAGGATTCTTGGGATTGACTGGGTATTACAGGCGATTTGTACAACAATATGCATCCTTGGCTGCACCTCTTACTGATCTCCTAAAAAATGATTCCTTCCAATGGTCACCTGAGGCAGGAGAAGCTTTTGTAAATTTGAAAGTTGTCATGAGTGAGACACCTGTGTTAAGATTGCCTAACTTTGCTCAACCTTTCACTACCAAGTCAGATGCCTCAAATTATGGCGTGGGTGCAATATTGTTGCAGGAGGGCAGACCTATTTCCTTCTTCAGCAAGAAACTAGGAACTCGAATGCAGGCAGCTTCCACTTATGTGAGGGAGCTCTATGCAGTAACTGAGGTTGTGAAACGTTGGAGGCACTACCTATTGGGGTCAAGGTTTATTATCAAGACCGGTCATAGAAGTCTTAAGGAACTGTTGACTCAAACAATTTCTACTCCTGAACAACAAAAATATGTTTGTAAGATACTTGGATTTGATTTCACTATTGAATATAAAAGTGGATCTTCTAATATTGTGGTTGATGCTTTGTCCAGAAGCTTGGAGGATAATTCCAATGAAGAAGCTTCATTGTTGTATCTAATTTCTACACCAAGGTATGAAATGGTTGATCAAATTCTTGCTGAAAATGCTTCTGACAGTTACTTATTGGAGTTACATCAGCAGATTAGTAACAACAGTTGTTTAGATAATGCCATTACAGTTCGAGATGGCATCCTGTTCCATAAGGGACGATATTTGATCAGTCCCACATCAACCTTAAAAAAGGCATTGTTAAGAGAAGCTCACTCTTCACCGATTGGAGGATATGCAGGAATTGCTACACATTTTTGAGGTTAACAATTTTCTTTTACTGGGATCATATGTGCAAGGATGTTGCTGAATTTGTGAAGGAATGTCATACTTGTTAGTATATCAAGACCACTACCACTCTCCCTTTGGGACTCCTGCATCCTTTACCAATACCAGAGGGTGTTTGTGAGGATATCTGCTTAGACTTCATTACGAGGTTACCTCCCTCTGCTGGTTTCTCCACCATATTGGTAACAGTAGACCGACTGACCAAATATGCCCACTTTGGGGGTCTTCCTGCAACCTATACAGCTACATCAGTGGCTAGATTATTCTGTGACATGGTAGTAAAGCTCCATGGTTTTCCAAAAACTCTGGTCTCTGACAGAGATCCAATTTTCATCAGCCATTTCTGGGCTTCGTTGTTCAAGATGAGTGGCACTACTTTGAAGATGAGCTCCGCTTACCACCCCCAAACCGATGGCCAAACTGAGGTTACAAATCGGTATTTGGAACAATATTTGCGGGCCTTTTGTCATGACCAGAATGGAAAGTGGTCATTGTATCTAGGATGGGCTGAATTTCACTATAATACAACTGTTCATTCATCCATAGGTATGTCACCCTTCTAAGCTTTATATGGTAAGCAACCAACCTTAATTCTAGCTTATACTCAAGGATCAATAAGAGTTGCTGCTATAGACACCTTACTTTCTCATAGAAATGAGTTGCTTGCCAGCCTTAAGAATTATTTGCAGGCAGCTCAGAATCGCATGAAAGTTGCAGCTGATAAGCATCGGAAAGACTAGGAATTTGTAGTAGGGGACTTAGTTTTGGTCAGGCTCCAACCTTATAGGCAGATTTCTATAGCAAGAAGGGCAAATCAAAAGCTTGCTAAAAGATATTATGGTCTGTTTCCTGTTAAGAAGGTACTAAGTCCTGTAGCATATCACTTGGAGCTACCCCCTGAGTCTCGCATCCATCCTTCATTCCATATATCAGTCTTGAAGGCTTTTAATGGGAATTTCAACATTCTTGTGCTTGACTTACCCGCCACATATCGAGAGAACAGACCAATTCAACAACCAGTGGCTGTCATAGAATCACGCGTTGTCAGTCCTCATGGAGCACCTATCAACCAGTGGCTGGTGCAATGGTCAAATTCCTTACTTGAAGATGCTACGTGGGAGGATGAGGAAGATCTCCATCGATTTTACCCAGAGTTGGACCTTGTGGTCAAGGTCCGTTTTGATGGAGGGACGAGTGATACGAATGGAGCCAAAGGAGCTGGATTGGTTAGGCCCAAAAGAATGGCCAGTGCTCGCAGTTGGGCCGTAGATTATCAGGCATGTTAGTGTGTAATGTAGTTAAGGCCTGTACAATGATTTGAGAATTCTATTAGTTAGTTGATAAATAAAGTTGTAAAGAGGCTCAGGGTGTGTTTATATAAATACCCTGCTTGTAACAGGATTCATTATCTTGAATAAAAATTGCTCTTGTTCTTCAATAAGATTGAAGAGGGTTCCTCTTATCAATGTACTTTGAATGAAAAGTTACCTGCTAAACTCTCTGACCCTGTTGAGTGTCCGCTACCATCTTTTATCTTTCTTGTTGATATTACTGTTTTACTTTTTGTCTACAGTCTACCATAGGCGTAAAATATGGAAGCAAGTTTTGTCTACCTCTATATTTGTAAGACTCAACAATCTTTAAAATATTAAACTTTTTCATCAAGATTCAAGCTGTTAAGCTTGCCAAACAAGCTGAAGAACATGAAAATTTTATCAACAACACAACTAAAAGGTCATTCTTTTGATTCTTTTCTGCTTTTTAGTTTTATTTTTTTAAAAAAATTAAATTTTGTGTGGTCATTTCACATTGGGTATGTTAATATTGAACAACTTTTGATTTTGATATTTTTTTGTCCTCTCTATAAATGTTCAGGTGACTCATCTTTTGGGGGTTCTTGGCTTTGGTAATGGTAATTGGTGGGTTTTTTCCTCTCTATATCTGAAGTTTTGTTTTAGAAGTTTATTGTGCTTCTATGAAACATAAGTAATTAAAGCAAGTTAGTTAGTTACATGATTGTTCATGCCTTTCAGGATTTTTGCTATTATGCCACTGCAATCTTCTTGGTTTACCTTTTTTTTTATCCAAGGAATGAAAAACTTTTTCTGGTTTGCTTCTCATTTTCTGAGGTAAGCACGTTATCCCTAGTAATTTAACATTTGAATTCCAAATGTGTTGCCCATTAGTGAAAAATGTAGGTTTAATGATAATATTGTTGAATTACTTGCTTTGAGCATGACTTTAGATCCAAGAAACAAGTATAAGTCATTTAATAGTGATGATATTTGCAAACTTGTTGATAAATTTTATTATAGAGATTTCACGGAACAGGAAAAATTGTATTTGAAGATGGAGTTACAACATTTTGAGCTTGACATTCCTAAACATCCATATTTGATCAATTTATCAACTAGATCTGAATTATGTCAAGGGCTAGCAAGATCCGAAAAGTCCATCATTTACCCTCATATTGATAGAGTGATTAGACTTATACTCACTCTTTCAATTTTTATAGCAACTACTGAAAGATTTTTATTAGCCATGAAGATAATCAAATCCAGGCTTGAAATAGAATGGAAGACCAATTTCTTGATTATTTTTTGTTTTTATACATTGAAAAAGAAATTGTTTTGAGTTTTAGCACGAATTCAATTATAGATGAGTTTAACAATATGAAAACACGTAAGTGAAGTGATCTTAATTTCTGTAATAGATTTCTTTCAATTTTTTTGTATATTAGGTCTGAATTATATTTTAAGTACTTTTATTTATGATATAATATTTTTTATTTTGCCCATCTCATTAATATTTTTGGCTAACGGAATAGTCAAAGAGTGGGGTGTGTGCAGAGTGACAGCTAAGAGAGAGAGATAGAGTTTTGAATGTCTATATCTTATTAGTTTAACCCCTTATTTATATATGGGTTACCTGGTAGGAGGGGACTTCTGAGCCTCTTGAGAATATTGAAGATCCAAATGTTAATACATTATTGTCGTAACAGGATTAATATAATTAAAAATATTCCCTTAATTTCCTATTAACGATTAACCCTTTTTGAATCTTCTATAATACAGGCCTTTCTGAGATACTTATCAACAACTCTTCTCACCATCTGATTCAAAACTTTTTTTCCTTTTACCTTTCATATTCCACTCTCACCCAAAAAATAAAATAAACAGTAAAAAATAAAAACTATAGTTCTTAACCAACGTTAATTAATCACAATCACAAAATCGATGTGGACAGTGGACCCCACAGAGTGGGCGACCCCGTAATTGAGTTGAGAATCTAGGGGCATTTGCGTCATTTGTGGGATCCCCTGGCTCCCCTTAACTGTCTCGGTTGATACACAGAGACGCGTACATATATACGAATTCATAGCTCCACCATTTCCATCTTCTCATCGACACATCCAGAAGGAGACTCACACCAAATCTCCCACTTTTTCCTTCTTCCATTCTTTTCTCAAAACTCTCATTCTTATTTTTCTTCCCTCTGGATTTGATACAATTATGTAAGTTTTTCTCAGTTATTTATTTATTTATTTATTTATTTGAGTTTCTGTGGCTTGTGCTTATGATCCTGGTGGTGCCCATTTCCTTTTTTGTAATTTGTTTTGTAAAAAGAATTGAGCTTTGGGTAAATGAGTGTTTTTTGTGACGTGGGTATTGCTCCTTTTTTTTTGGGTATCCTATTGCTCCTTTTTTTTTTATGGATCTGTGATGTTTGTGAAGATAATGTTTTTCTCTGTTCATAGATGTTGTGCTTGATTTCAATGTGAGCATTTCAGCTGGTTGTAGGATAAAAAATAGATCTGTCCTGGGTTTGTAATTATGGGTTCTTACGTATGCTTGAGTACGTTCAATGTGTTTAGTTATGTCAAAAACAATCGTTGCATTTTGTAGCGATTTTGAGGAAGTTTAGTATTGCCTTTGTTTTTTTCTTTTGGTGTTGAATTTTGTGCGTTTCATGTGCTGTTGTGTTTTTTTTTTTTTTTTTTCTCTAGATGTTGAAGAATGGACTTCTTTCCAGCAAGTCATTGATGAATATTGTAACCTTTTTTTCGTTTATTTTTTTGTATGTTTTTACGTAATAACTAACTGAATCAAGAAAATATTTTGTTTTGTTTTACTCTTTTATTTCTGTTGGACTTATATTGAGCTTTGGAGCTATCATTTACTTCTGGTTCTTTTCTCTTGTGCACTGATATCATGGAGGTTGGAAACTACTACAACCTCCTTCCAATCCCCCCAAACGGTTCACCATTAGCATTGTCCTGGTGCTTTAATTTCCTCATAGTTCTGTTCAGTTTCTGTTGTTATGGCTATAGTATGCTTCAGTTTCTGTTGTTATGGCTATAGTATGCTTTTATTTTACTTTATGAGGTTAATTTGAAAAATGATATTTTGATTTCTGTTTGTGGTTCTAATTGATATATTGTGATTAGTATTTGTTTTTATTGTAGAAGTTGCTTGACATGGCTTCTTCATATACCCCAAAGAATATCCTCATTACTGGGGCAGCTGGATTCATTGCGTCTCATGTTGCTAACCGCCTTGTCCGGAGCTATCCTGACTACAAAATTGTTGTGCTTGACAAACTTGATTACTGTTCTAATCTGAAGAACCTCCTTCCTTCTAAATCGTCTCCGAACTTCAAGTTTGTGAAGGGTGATATTGGTAGTGCTGATCTTGTCAACTACCTTCTCATCACCGAGTCCATTGACACAATAATGCACTTTGCTGCTCAAACCCATGTTGACAACTCGTTTGGTAATAGCTTTGAGTTCACCAAGAACAACATATATGGAACTCATGTTCTACTAGAAGCATGCAAAGTAACTGGCCAGATCAGAAGGTTCATTCATGTGAGCACTGATGAGGTCTATGGTGAGACGGAAGAAGATGCTATTGTCGGAAACCATGAGGCTTCTCAACTTCTTCCCACAAACCCATACTCTGCAACAAAGGCTGGGGCAGAAATGCTTGTCATGGCATATGGTAGGTCATATGGGTTACCTGTTATCACAACACGTGGAAACAATGTTTATGGGCCCAATCAGTTTCCTGAGAAATTAATTCCGAAGTTCATCCTCCTGGCTATGCAAGGAAAGAATCTTCCAATTCATGGGGATGGTTCTAATGTGAGAAGTTATTTATATTGTGAAGATGTTGCAGAGGCTTTTGAAGTTGTCCTTCACAAGGGAGAGGTTGGCCATGTGTACAATATTGGAACAAAGAAGGAAAGGAGAGTTACCGATGTAGCCAAAGACATATGCAATCTTTTTTCAATGGATCCAGAAACTAGTATAAAATTTGTAGAGAACCGACCATTTAATGATCAGAGATACTTTCTCGATGATCAAAAACTGAAGAACTTGGGTTGGTCTGAGAGGACCACATGGGATGAAGGCTTGAAGAAAACTATGGAATGGTATATCAATAATCCTGATTGGTGGGGTGATGTCACGGGGGCATTGCTTCCTCATCCAAGGATGCTGATGATGCCTGGTGGGATGGAGAGACATTTTGAAGGTTCTGAAGAGGAAAAACCCGCATCATTTGGCTCAACTAATACTCGGATGGTAGTTCCATTATCCAAGAACAATGGAACTCAGCAGAAACATCCTTTTAAGTTCTTGATCTATGGTAGAACAGGGTGGCTTGGGGGTTTGTTGGGAAAATTGTGTGAAAAGCAGGGGATTCCATATGAATATGGAAAGGGGCGCCTAGAGGATCGCTCTTCGCTCGTGGCTGATATTCAGAATGTGAAGCCAACCCATATTTTTAATGCTGCAGGAGTGACTGGCAGACCCAATGTTGATTGGTGTGAATCTCATAAAACAGAAACCATCCGCACCAATGTCGCTGGTACTTTAACATTGGCTGATGTCTGCAGGGAGCAAGGGCTCTTGATGATAAATTATGCTACTGGTTGCATATTTGAGTATGACGCAACACATCCAGAAGGCTCTGGTATTGGTTATAAAGAGGAAGACAAGCCCAATTTCATTGGCTCTTTCTATTCCAAAACTAAAGCCATGGTAATTTTTCTTACATTGGTATGGTTTTATTAGTTTTTTGTTATGAATTATCCCAAATAAAAAATTTTATGTGAATATTGATCAGGTTGAGGAGCTCTTAAGAGAATATGACAATGTATGCACCCTCAGGGTTCGCATGCCGATTTCATCTGATCTGAGCAACCCACGCAACTTCATTACAAAGATTTCTCGTTATAACAAAGTAGTTAACATTCCAAACAGCATGACCATTTTGGATGAACTTCTGCCTATTTCAATTGAGATGGCAAAGAGGAACTTGAAGGGTATCTGGAACTTCACAAATCCTGGGGTTGTGAGCCACAATGAGATCCTTGAGATGTACAGGGATTACATTGACCGTGACTTCAAGTGGGTTAACTTCACACTTGAAGAGCAAGCCAAGGTGATTGTTGCTCCTCGAAGCAACAATGAGATGGATGCTTCCAAATTGAAGAATGAGTTCCCAGACTTGCTTTCCATCAAGGAATCACTGATCAAGTATGTCTTTGAGCCAAACAAGAAATAAGCAGTTTTATGTTTTAGACATGGCAGCTATATGTTGGGGCTATCGTTCACTATTCCACTGTTAGTTCCATTCAGTTAGTATTACAATTGCGTTTGATATTTCCTAAGTTTTCATTTCCACAGCCTTATTCATATTTTTAGGGTCCTCTTGTATTAGCAGGTTTAGATAGATGTCTTGTTTTTATTATCTGAAAAGCAAGTGATGGGAAACATTTGCATCGTGTAAGGCTTGTATTGCATTCTTTCATTGCTCATCTAGAATGAAAATTTAAAATAAGAGAAGTTATTATGATTTTTGACATTATTGAGATGTACTTGGATACTTATATGTAATATAGAATGAAAACCTTGGAATAAGAGAAGTTATTTATCAATTTTTAAACTAAAAGAATTGTAGTGTTAATTTTAACAATCTTATTTAGCGTAATTTACTTTTTGATTTCCAATTGCTTAGGTTTGCTCCAGAAACTGGGTTATGATATGGTATTAATAACCCTTTGATGTAGTGTAACCTACTACTTCTATCTTCCAAGTTGCATATTCCTCAAGCATTCTTCAATTTTTTTTTTTTATATTATTATTCATCGGTTCATTGATTATTTGATTGATTCACGTTTTTAAGGACTTGAACTCAAGATTACTGGTTAAATTAAAATAATTTCTTACCAATTGAGCCACGTGCTTCGTGGTTTTTATTGTCAATTTCCAATAAATTTTAGGTATGTTATATACGAATAAATTAATTCAATGGAAATGAAAAGAATGATATTTAGTATCCGAATTGACATTGTTCATATTTCAACCATATGCCTTCAATAAAATATTTGAACTTCCAACGTTGTTAAAGAATGCATGTCACATTATACACATGTTTCTGTATGATGTGAAAACAACTAATCTTTAATTTGAGAAAATGTTCTTGTTGTCTTTATACTATTATCAAAATCATTAAATTTATTTACTTCAGAATTTTTAACAAAATTTCTTTTAGGTTGAAAGTTGAAACTATGAACACTTATACAAATATTATTTGGAAACTCATACAGATCTGCATAAGTTGGCTGTATCTGAACTTTATCAGATTTAATGTTTTAGCAAGAGCATGTGGTTGGGTTATGTGCGTGCACGTGAGAACGTAAAAAATAAAATAAAAAAAATAATTATGATTTCAAGTTCCACGCACGATGGAATTGATGAGATTCTTGTTACTTCCACCGATAGTGTTGTGGTTGTACTGTTGTAGTGTTGGACGATGCAATGTGACGTGCGGACTTAGAAATTTTTTACAGGATTATCAGTTTCTTTTTATACTAATTACATTTTTAATAATATTGAGATTATATTTACAAATTTTTTATATATAAATTTTTACAAAATTAACTAAGTATTATGGGGAATATACATTTAGATATTTATATTTTTTGAAATACATAGTTAAATTTATAAAAAAAAAAATTTATAAATATAATATTTTTCATATGCATAAGATAATACATATTTATCAGTACAGAATAAAAAAATATTTCTTAATTCTCTAATCTCTTGATGCAAACGAGTACCACGCAACTGGACGGAGCCTTGCGAACGTTGTTGCTCCAATCATATCCACTAGTGCCACGCTACAAGCGAGATTATTAATTTATTTGCACGAGGCATATTTTTTTGGGTATATAAAAGACGAGGCTTCTTTTTATTATTATTATTATTTGGTGATTGACGGTTTGTTTATCTATTTATTCGGCAGCTTAGTTTGTTTACGGAAAAAGTGTGTATCATTTTAAAAAATGTAAAGTTGTGTTATTTTAAGTGAGAGAAAGAGATAGATAAATGAGGAGAGAGTGGATAAAAAAATATAAAGATGTGAATCCTATCTCTTTGTGAGAGTGAAAAGATATAAATTGTGTCATTTAAAAAGACAAACATTTTTTTCTTTGTTTATTTGTTCTTTTGAGTATAGCAGCATGCTGCGCATCACGACAACACCTTCCATTATATTAATTATCCTTCCGTTATATTAATTTTTCCCTCAAGCATGAATTTTCTTTTATATATTTATCATGTACCGAAGCACGAGTTACACAAATTTAGCAGCTTATGTTCGTGTACAACGTGGACAACAAAACGATCGGATTAGGCGACTTAGTTCACTGGACAGTGAAATCCGTTGTTGGTTTGTCTATTCAATCAAAATAATTTACCAAAATAGTATACCAATAAAAATTTACCAAAATGAAAATTAATAAAAAGGACAAACGAGCACTACGAGCAGGATGGTGGGTGTATTCAATTATTAAAATTAAATGTAAATAAAAAGGAATAGGAAAGAAATAGGTTAGGCGCGTGAAAGCCACGCGAGTTTTGTTTTCTCTCTCTTTCTCCTTTCTGTTAGATTTCCGATCATGTCGTCGCTAGAGAATTTTCATGGTGGCTCTCCGGCAATTAGTTTCAACTCTCCTGATAGTTTACGAAAAAGTGTTAAAAGATCCAAGGGTGGAGAAGAATTCTCTGCTGACTCGACTAATAGAGGTGCTGGTTTGGGGTTTCTTGCAAGAAATTCTCAAACAAAATCAATCAGATCCTTCGCTGATGCTCTTCGGAAGGCTGATGAACCGGTGGGGGAGGATTCTCTCTGGATCCTGGAAGATGAACAAGAAAAGAGTGTTCCCCTAGATCCGTCTAAGGGGGATATTTCTTAGTGGGGTTTTCAGACCATCGTTGAGGAGGATGGTTCAATCAGAATAAGATGCTCTGAGGAAGCAAAACAACGGATGAGGAGCCCCTGGAGGAACGCGCTAATTGTTAAATTGCTGGACAAGAAAGTTGGGGTTTCATATATGAAGATCAAGCTTGAAAGCTTATGGGCCAAGTCTGGATCGATTGTGGTTGCAGACCTGGGTAATGATTTTTTTTCTGTCAAGTTCATGAGCTTAGAAGATCTGAACATAGCTCTGAGTGGAGGCCCATGGGTGCTGCTAGGTCATTGTTTAGCCATCAGACAATGGGAACCGTTCTTCAATCCATTCAAGGCAAACATCCACCGTGTTGCTGCGTGGATCCGTCTTCCTGGCATCCCTCAAGAATTCTGTGAGTATCACTTCCTGAACTACTTAGGTAGTTTAATTGGCAGAGTTATTAAGGTTGATAAGACTACTTCAAATGGGTAGAGAGGAAAGTTTGCTAGAGTTTGTGTAGATCTGGACCTCTCAAAACCTTTAAGGGGTGAGTATATGATTGAAGATGATGTGTTTAAAGTTGAGTATGAAGGTTTATATTTAATCTGCATTAAGTGTGGTTGCTATGGGCATAATGCTGATAATTGCCCAGCGTGTGCTAAGCCTGCGGATGCTAACAATGAAGCTGGAAGTAATGAGGTGAAAGTAGAGAAAACAACTAGCCAAAGAGTTGGGCCCTGGATGGTTGTCCAGAGAAGGAAATCCAAGGCTCAAACCGCAACCAAATATGGCAATGTGAATGAGAGGGCTTTTGGAGATAATCTCACTAATTTTAACAGATCTGCTCCTTTGAAGAATGCTAATGATAAAGGAAAGGAGTATATCTCAGTGGGGGACCAACATGTTAAGGCTGTTTCAAGCAACAGTAATCTGCATCCTAAAGGGAGAAAGAGTAATGGCTCCTACCAGGATCCTCCAGTAGGAAAGGTATATAAACCTATTTCTACTCAAGGAAAGACGGGTAATAACTCCTCAGCTCCTGGGCTCAACAGAAGCAACATGGGATCAGAAACTAACTTCACTTTTTCCTCGGTTAAGCCAAGGACAGTTCCTAAGAAGATTTTGAAGGGTTCTATTGCTAATGGTTCAACTAAGAAGATTCTTGGCAATGACAGGTCTACTAAATTTGCTTATGGTGTGCAAAGCAAGGAGGTGGCTGGATCTGTCTGCATGGATAAGGAGAATAATTTCTATTCTGTGTTAGACCAGTCAGACATGAATTTGACTAACTCGGTGGTGGAGTTAGCTGATGCCCAATCGAATATTCTTCCAGAGGAAGGGGTGCTTCCAGATGCAGAGAATATGGTTGGTTTGGAGATGGAGAATTGTGCTGATGCTCAGCAATCTGATCTGTTGATGGAGAGTAACCAGGAACTCTGTAATCCTGGTGCCAACATTGTTTGCCAATGAAGTGCCTAGTATGGAATTGCAGGGGTGCAGTGCTTGGTCGAACCGAGAGCTGCTCGGGAATATTTTTTCAGAGAGCAAGAGTGCAGAGTAATAATCAGGATTGCCAACAGGAGCAATCTACTCTGACTAAGAGCAACCCTCTTCAACTATACGCAAGCGTACGTGTCAAGCAATATAGGGTATTGTAGCCCCAGATTTATCGTCCTCAGGGAGCAGTTGTGAAGTAAGAAGCGCTAAAGGAAACTTAATTTGTAAAATGGAGCAATAAAAGAAAGTACTATTCTCAGCTAAGCTTCACGAAGAGCAATCTCTGGGCAGCTAGTTAAACAATGTTAACCATTCTGAACCAGATGATAGCAGTAAATGACTTAGCACGATCATTGAATAAAAATGCATCAATTTAAGTAACTTCAAGAGCAGTCAACGAAATGAAAGTAAGAGCATCAGCTGGTAAAACACAATTCAATTATCGTGAGGAAAAGGTTGTGATAGAAGTTTGAGTTAAGATTAATTTCAGAAAAAGTCAAGTAGGTGTCACGGGTTCCATGTTTTCATCCCTTTGGTTAACCCTGCTTGGTAGAATACTTTATAAGTGGATTTTGCTCTTTCCCTTGTTTTGCTATAGGTAAGCAGAGAGTAAGGCCTTACTCTCCACGTTACTCCATAGTACTTGGAGTTATATGCAAGGAAACCATGCTGCCTTCTCAAAAGAGCATGGATTCACATGGCAGTGCTCCCCATTCCAGGTGTTTCTCCCTCCTTTCTTCAGGCTAAACTACCCCAGGATCTTGATAATGCTCCACACGCCTTTGTCAGTGTTTCATCAACCGAGTGGTCCCGGGATGAGGTTGTCATCCCAAAGGGTTTCACAAAATCAATAAATTAAACCAAAGAGCAACTCAAAATTCATTTATAAAATATGTGTTCCTTACAAAGTTATCCTAAGACAAAAGGGATTACTTCTATGGAACCCTCACCTACTTAGAGAAAGTTAGCTCCTAGTGAGCATTTTTACAAAAAGAAAAAAACAAAGAAAAATAACGAGTCCTAGGATGGGCGCTGATCCCCATTTCATGAGGATTGCTTGTTCCTTTTATAGGGTTCTTCATTTGATCTCCATTGTTCCTTTCATCAAGGGTTGTGCTTTGTTTAAATCCTCTCCAATGGTAGCTTTTCTTTTTGCCAGCTTGGCCTTAAATGGAGATGGTCCCCCTTGCTTTTGGCTCCCTTTGTGAGTAGGAGTATCGAATTCAGGGAGGCACCTCCACTCTTTCTGCTGCAGCTGACGTGGCTGTTTTTATTGCTCAGCTCCTTTGCTTTCGTACTGTAGCAGAGGTAGCACCTCCACCTTCTCTGTTGTGGCTGACGTGACGGCTTCCCATTGCTTCCTTTGACTGCTGTTGTACTACAGCAGGTTTTTCTTTTCCTTTATGCGCAACACTCCTTCTTCTCTCTTCATTTTGTGGTTCCTTCTGATGGGCCTTAGGTGTCCTGAACAAAGCAAACTAACCCAATAGTCATATGTGAAAAAGATAATGTTAAAATTGCTCCAGGTCTACCTTAATTCCCATTTTCGGTATTGCTCTGGTCCACTATTCAAAACAGTTGCTCTATATGGAGAGAAGAAGGTTGAAGGGAGTGATTTATAATCAAACATGGGTTTTGTGGAACAATTTACACTTAATGGGCCTCAACTTTTGAGGACCATCATGCAGCTAAAAAGCCTTTTAAAGTGACCCTTTGCAATTACATAAGGAAACACAAGATTGGTCTTGTGGCCATCTTGGAACCCAGAATAAGTGGTGTGTTGGCACAGAAAAAAATAAAACAGATTGGCTTTAATCAAGCAATGATACAGGATGCTGAAGGATTTTCTGGTGGCCTCTGGATCTTATGGAAGGATGAGATTTGTTCTGTTCAACTCATTGAAAAAAAGAATCAATTTATCCATGTTAGTTGTAATCTCAATTCTGGTTCTTCCTTCTTGTTGACTGTTGTGTATGCTAGCCCTAGGGAGGATTTAAGGGAGGCTCTGTGGCTTGATCTTATTCGAATTGCAGGAGATGTAGTGGGCCCTTGGATGATGATGGGGGATTTTAATGAGATAATGTCATTTAAGGAGAAAAAAAGAGGTGCTTCTATTAATTTTACTAGATGCTCCAAGTTCTGTTCTGTGTTAAATGACTGCAATGTCATGGATATTGGTTGTAGAGGAGCTAAGTTCACTTGGAGAGGGCCTAAATGGCTGCATCTTGATAGGGTTTTTAAAAGATTAGACCGGGTGTGTGCTAATGCAGAGTGGAGGACAGTTTTTGATGAAGCTTCTGCTCAAACCTTGCCTCGGCTGAACTCGGATCATAATCCTATTCTCATCTCTCTCTACCCGATGGTGAATAATTGGAAAGAAAGGCCTTTTAGATTCATTGCAGCTTGGCAAGATCATATAACCTTTCCTTATTTTCTGCAAGATGTGTGGAGGTCTGATCTGCAGATTCAGCATAGCCTTGTCAATATTGTGGAGCCTTTGAAATCTTGGAACCAAAGAGTTTTTGGCTGCATAGGGGTGAGGAAGGATTTTTTATTGAAAAAACTTCATGAAATTCAACTAAATTCTCCTCATCTGCCAGAGGAAGAAGTTTTTGAGTTAGAAGCAACTGTGCAAGAGGAGCTGAATTTGGTTCTGCATCAAGAGGAAGCCTTATGGTTCCAGAAAGCCAGATGTAGATGGATTGAAGATGGTGACCGGAATACTAAGTTTTATCATACCACTACAATCATCCGTAGGGCCAGAAACAAAATCTCAGAGTTAAAAAATGATGAAGGTCACTTTGTGCGAGAGGAGAGTAATCTTCATAAACTGATCCATTCCTTCTTTGCTAATTTGTTTTCTGAAGATCGTCCTTGTAGAGATTGGATTGCTACTGAGATTAATTGGTCAGTATTAGAGAAGAGTGAATTGGAAGAGGTGAGTAGGAAGGTTTCAAATTCAGAGATCGAAGATGCTTTCTTCTCTATGGGTGCTCTGAAAGCACCTGGCCCAGATGGATTTCCAGCCTTTTTCTTTCAGAAAAACTGGAATACTGTGAGTACTCAAATTTGTGAGTGTGTGAGACATATGTGGAGCAAACCGGCTGATATCAAAGAGATCAACAAAACATTTCTGGTCCTGATTCCTAAGATGCAAAAACCAGAAAAAATCAGTCAATTTAGGCCCATTGCTTTATGTTTTGTTCTTTACAAAGGGATTAGTAAATTAATTGTGAAAAAATTACAACCTCTTATGCAAAAGCTCACATTTCCCTATCAAGTCAGCTTTGTCCCTGGGAGGCAGATTCAGGATAATATAATCATTGCTCAGGAAATGATTCATTCCATGAGCAGGATGAGAGGGAATAGGGGATTTTTTGCAATCAAAATTGATCTTGAGAAGGCTTATGATCGGTTATCTTGGAGTTTCATCAGAAGTGTTCTAACCGAATTGAAGCTTCCTGTTCATTTCATAGATCTTATCATGCAGTGTATATCTTCATCTGAGTTGGAGATTCTTTGGAATGGTGCCAAATCGGGTTCTATTTTTCCTAGCAGAGGGCTTAGACAAGGGGACCCTATTTCCCCCTATATCTTTGTCCTTTGCATGGAGAAATTATCTCACATTATTGCTGAAGCTGTTGAGAGGAGAGCATGGAGTCCTATGACAGCAGGTAAAAAAGGGCCCAAGATATCTCACTTGTTATTTGCTAATGACTTGATGCTCTTTGCAGAGGCAAGTACGGATCAAATTGAGGCTGTTATGAGCTGTCTCAGTCTCTTTAGTGATATTTCTGGGCAGAAGGTGAGTATATTGAAATCTAATATTTACTTCTCCAAAAATGTTATTGTTGATTTAGCCAAGCTTATTGTTGAGAAAAGTGGCCTTGTTCAAACGAAAAATTTGGGTCATTATCTTGGGTATAAGATGAAGCATGGTAGAGTGAGTAAGAGTCATTATGGGGATATTATGGATAGAGTCCAAAACAGATTGAATGGCTGGAAGAAACAATGTTTATCATTGGCAGGTAGAGTCATTTTGGCTAAATCTGTCATATCTGCTATCCCAATGTTCCATATGCAAAATAGCCTCCTTCCTGTAACTATTGTGATGAAATTGAGAAGTCTCAAAGAAGCTTTATATGGGGCGATTCAGATAGTCATAGGAGAAACCATCTGCTGGATTGGAAGCATCTGCAATTACCTAAGTATATTGGTGGGCTTGGAATAATAAACCTTAGAAGACAGAATGAGGCATTCTTTCATAAATGTGCTTGGTCTATCATCCATTCTCCTTCACAGTTATGGTCCCAGGTCATCATTTCCAAATATGCCAGGAAAAATAATTTGCTTATGGAAGTGGTGTCAAAGCCGTATGACTCTCAGTTTTGGAGGAGTCTGTGTAAAGTTTGGCCAAAAGTTTTGCAGAATCTTGTATGGCAGATTGGTAATGGCCCAAAGATTAGCTTCTGGAGTGATAACTGGATTGGTTTAGATCATAATCTTCTCTCCTATACCAAATCAGTACCTGCACCTGCTGATCTGGATCTGAAAATTGACAGTGAGGTTTTTTCTTCAAATGGGAACTGGAACTGTTATTACCTTAGTAACCATTTTGAGGATCAAATTGTTAATAGAATCGTAGCCATTCCTCCCCCAATGAAGGAGGATGATGAAGACTGCGTGGTTTGGAAGGACTGGAATCCCAATGCTTCTCTTGTCAAATTAGCTTATAATAGGCTAATGGATTTTCCTGGTCCTACTGGCAGTCAATACTGGGATAGAATTTGGAGTTGGAAAGGTCAAGAAAGAGTGAAATTCCTACTCTGGAAACTTGTTCATGGAAGACTGCTAACAAGAGAGCGAGTTGCCAAATGGGGAAACGTTTCTGATAGATGTCTTAACTGTCCAGATAATGTGGAAACCTGCATTCATGTTTTTAGAGATTGTCCCAAGGCCAAACTGTTCTGGGCAGTGCCTTTTTTCCAGCCCCTCCCCTCTGGTTTTTTCTCTATTCCTGATTTAAAAGGTTGGTTAGACTTGAATTTATGTCACTCTCTTGGTAAGCATGATGATTGGAGAGATGTCTTCTTCTCAGTTTGTTATTTGCTCTGGTTTTGGAGAAATAAGGAGATGCATGAAGAGAATTTTCATCCTTGGTAAATTCCTGATTGATTATTTGGATGAGATCAAAAGAAGCAGAACATCTAAAAGTCAAATTTCCTTTCCTCCCACGTCCCCAACCGAAGTCTTCTCTTGGTCCAAGCCTGCGGAGGGAGTGCTCAAATTAAATGTGGATGGTGCTGTTTCGAGGGATAGAGCTGCTTGTGGTGGTATCTTGAGAGATTATAAAGGCTGTTGGCATGGTGGCTTCTCTTGTTTCCTTGGTTCTTGCTCCCCTCTCCAAGCTGAGTTATGGGCAATTTTGCATGGCTTAGAAGTATCTTGGAAGTATGGTTGCAGGAATTTATTGGTTGAATCTGACTCTTTACAAGCAATTAGCTTACTTACCTCTATTGGTAATGATTCTCGAAAGTTGCCGTTGGTAGCTAAGATTCGAGTATGGCTCAAGAAAGATTGGAGGGTGGCCTTGTCTCATATATCTAGATCAATTAATTGTTGTGCAAATTGGATTGCTAAGGAGGCTATTGAAGATGGATTTGGGCTGCAATTGATCTTCTCACCTCACCCTGAGTTGGCCAAGCTTATGGAAGCTGATAACCTTGACTCTGGTTAATCAGCTTTGGTTTTAGTTTTCTGTTGAGTTTTATTTTGTTGTTTTTGTAGCTTTCTTTTGTTGGGTTTCTGTTATGTGAAACTTTATTTGTTGTTGTTTTGGGGCTTGGCCCCTCATGAATACCAAAAAAAAAAAAAATTAAATGTAAATAAGATGGGAGATGCTATACTTATTTTTTACTACTAAACTAATTATCATTGATTTCTGTTAATCTAAGGGTTATAATTTATTAGGAATTAATAATTAATTAATAAATGTGACCCAATAAATTATAAACGCTAGATTGATTGAAATTAATGGTGATTAGTTTAGTAGTAAGAGTAATAAAATATTTTAGTATAACTGCTTCCAAATAAGATTTTGAATTGAATTTATTGTTTATAAAAACTCCTATAACAAGCACAAAACCTTGGAAAACTTCCAAAATAGCATGTGAAATTTGCCCAAAATCAACAAAGAATGACTCCAAATCAAGTACCAAATCTAGGAAAGCACCAAAATAAATGAAAAACAAAGCAAATTTTGTTAGGTAATAGAGTACAATATAGCTAAACTAAGATTCGAGAGAAACAAGAATTTCAAGAAACTGTTAACCACACCAATTGGCCATGTAAATATAAGTGGGAGTTTATATGTGCAATTGCAACGATGATAATTAAATAACCACTAAATTTAAGGCTATGTTTTTTAACCACTTTTATAGGCACCAACGATATAATTAATTTTATCTTAATTCCACCAGTCAGGAAATTAACAAATACACCAATTGAAGTGACATACAAGATTTACTTGGAAAATCCAATTGGAAAAAATCATGGGCAAAATCAAAGAAAATTTTCACTAAGTGAAAGAAATTACAACACCTTTCTAAATATAAGGAGAGAACAATATCACTGTCTCTTATATTAGAAGAATACACTTTATTCAAAATAACACTTAAGACACTTGGTGTTTTCCTCTCTAAGATGGAATTTTGGGATAATAGTAATCATTAGCAAGCACCATGTTTATAGACATAGGGTGCTGCTATGCATCTCACAAATGGTTTATCTTTTTTTTTCAACTTTTCATAATGTATACACAGTGCACTACATGTGCAAATTGAAAAGAAAACGAAGCCACCAAATCAACAGTGTTTGATTTGGTTTTCAGCCACTAAACCTTTAGACAGTCATGCCTTACGTCAATCTCCTACTTAAAGTCACTTTTGGTGAGCTTTCAAAATCTTTCTTCTCTTGCTAGTTCTATGCTGCTTACGTTTCTGATGGACCATAAGAAGTTCAACACCATATAAACTTATCATCATTGATTGGTTTTGTCATGACATCTGCCAGGTTTTATTTGGTGTGAATCTTCTGCATATCCACACTCCATTCTTCTATTACTTCTCTGACAAAGTGGTACTGCACTTATGTGTGTTTTGTACTTGAACGAAGGTTGGATTCCTTATAATGGGCAAGACACTGTGATTGTCAATAATTGACTATTGTTTATGTCTGAGTTCTTCTATTAACCTTTGAATCCAAATTGCTTCTTTGCATGCTTGAGTAGCTGCTATATATTCAGCTTTTGTAGTAGATAAAGCTACACATACTGTAATTTGGATAACCAGCTAACTGCTCCTCCTACAAGTGTAAACATATAGCCTATAGGATATTTTCTTTTATCAAGATCACCTGCAAAGTCTGAATCAACATATCTTCTAACAATAAACTCCGATGCTCTATAACATAATGCAGTATTTGAGGTTCTTTTCATGTATCTCAGAATCTTCTTAACAGCATTCCATTGCTATTTCCCAGGATTTGCCACAAAATTACTGACCATACCAATTTCTTGAGCAATATTCAGTCTCGTACAAATCATTGTATACATAAGGCTTCCTACCGCTAATGCATATGGTACTCGATACATTTTCATTACCTCTACTTTATTGCTAGGACACATACTTATGATAATTTGTAATTGATATGAAGTAGGGTAAAAATTGGCTTACAATCTTACATGTTGAAGCGCCACAGTATTTTTCTCAGATAATTCTTTTGTGAAAGCAAAATCTTCCTATCTTTTATGTTTTGGTAAATTTGGTTCCCTAAAATCATTTTTGCTAATCCCAAGTCCTTCATATCAAATTCCCTTAGCAACTATGCCTTCAATTCTTAGATCCAATCTTGGTTAGGCCCTACCATTAACATGTCATCCATGTACAATAGCAGAATGATGTATTTGAGTCTATTGTATAACCAAACCTCTTGTAATATGCACAATAGTCTGAACCGAGTCTATTGTAATTGAGGAAAACTATGAAGGAATCAAATCCTTTTTTTTTTGGATTATGTAAGAACCCGCACCGTTAATTAAGGAATTTTAATTAATTAATTATGTGAAAATAGGAAATGATTCCATAATTGACCCTAATAATTATTATGAGGCTTTAATAATTATAGTAAGTGATTAAGAATGCTGAAAGTCGCTTTTCGGAAGAAAAGTGCAGATACCGGTTCTGCTAGTCGGTATAAATGTGTACCGAAAAAGTATCCCGGAAAATTATAATAAGTACTTGATAATTACTATAATAATATGTAGGACTTGTAAAACGAGTTTCAAGTCCAAATAATGAGAACTGGTGCTAGAAACCGGTACTGGCTTTGAAAAGCGTGTACCGAAAAGGTGCTCCGAAAATTATAAGAAAAATATGATAATTCTTGTGAAATTGAGTAGGTTAAGAATCCAAAGTTTGGGATTAAAAAGCTAAGCGTAGCAATTAAAGTTAATACTGTGTGTTTGGGCTATAAATACTCTCTTTAAGGGCACTCAACTCTAGAAAACAGACTTTTGAGCGTGAGTGTTGGCTGAGCAGGTTGTTGAGCACTTTTCCATTGCCTTGGTGCCTCCTTGTTCTTCGACTTTTCTTCATCAAAACACTTTCTTGAGTAAGAGTGACCCTTGAGGTTGAGTGTGAGGGTTTGTTTCTGAGTGGTGTCCACTGTGTTGATGGTGTTTGGGAGCTGTGTTCTAAGTTGGGGTGAAGGGGTTCATTTTCTTGATGCTTGATGCTCCAAGAAGTTACCTTGTGAAGGAAAGATCCCACCTTATTGCTCCATTTTCGCATCTTGTCCTGGTCAGAACCTTGGAGTAGTCTTGTGAGCTCCAAGAGCACCCTTTGTTGGCTGGTTGTGCTTGGGTGAGTGGTTCAACCCTTTGATCATGAGTTTTATGCTTAAAAATGGAACCTTGATGCATGTAAAGGTTAAAAGATGATAACTTAACGTTGGGTAATGTCAAACACACCTAGAAATGCATGTTTAGGTGTTTAAAATCGGTAAAAACCCAACCTTGGAAGGATATCTTCACGAAATGCAGTTTCTGTATTCTGTCGTGAAATATCTGGATATCTGCCCAAGAGATATCCAGATATGTGATATCCGGATATGGGATTGGATATCCGGATATGGGAATCTGGATATCTGGATATTGTATATCCGGATATGTACAGTGAAATATTCGGATATTGCATATCCGGATATGGTCCCGAGGAATATCCGGATATTCTGGGATTTCGTAGAACAGTAGCTGTACTGTGTGTACAGTAGGCTATTGGGGGTTTGTGGACCCTAGATTGATGAAGTTGAACTTCTGTAATTAATGAACTAAGTCAGAATCAATTGATTAAGGGCTTATGGCTTGGTATGGAGCCTTAAGACGTAAAACGTAAAGGAAAGGCGTTGTCTTTAAGTTATATGCTTGTGGCGCATTATTATTGATACAATATTGGTCCGTAACAGATTGTGAATCTGCTGTGTTTGGACTTTGAGCTGTGGACTCTTGGCTTTGGGTGTTAGCTTGCAAGGTAAGCTTTCGTGTCCTCGGTTTAGCCATGTTGTGGTTCCACCATGTCCCATGGGGGTGTGGTTATATGCATGCTGTGTTACATGCTTTGAATATTCGAAATGTTGTTGAGCTTTATGTGTAATGGCTTTTAATATGCATGTGTTGTTTCATCTTGACGGTAAGCCTGAGTATGTGGCGTCATACGATATGGCGAACCGGGGTGAATGCAAGTAGCGTCTTGCACTATTGGTGGGTATTAGAAGTATATAAATCCTGTATTTCTCTGGCCAGTAGAATAGAATTGACACGCATGACATGATTATCTGCTGCATTGCACTAATTTAGAACTGATGATGATAAACTGCTTTTAAACTTATATTGCACATGTAAGTGAGCTTGGGGTGGAAGATCCTTGAGGACCCCTTGTCTTACTGAGATTTCTTGTTTAGAGATCTCACCCCACGTTTGGGGAATGCTTATTTCAGGTTCAGGTAGTATGGTGACTGATGCCTCTAGCGACAGGAGGCCAGAGCTTAGCTGATATTGATATTATGCTGTATTGCTGCCGTGACTGGTTCTGGGATGTTGTTTATGTTTTCCGCTATTTATGTTGTTGTTGTTGTTGAGACTGATGTTGGGCGTGTTTCCTTAATTGAGTGAGCATGGGGATTGTCCATGACACTTTATGTAGTACTTTTAGTTTGGAGTTGTATAAACTGCTAGACGGTCCGGTCTACGTTGTTGTAGTACCGTGACTAGAGCCACACTTTTATTATCTATGTTATGAGCTATTTTCAGTTAGCTGTTTTATTGCAATTACATACAGGCAAGGTTTTATTAATTGATTAATAAGCAAGATGGTAATATTAATGACATCATAATTGAAAAGAAAAAGATATTCTGCATTTTTAATTAAGCGCAGCTTAATACGATAGTATGATAACATTACCGGATATATACGGGGTGTTACAGATTACATTCGGGTATCCCCATAGCCGATAACCATGAGACTAATCCCTCGCCCCGGGTCAGCGCGCAAAGCGGTAAAGAGCTGGCCACAGAATGTTTTCCATTCACAAGAGTTGGGGTTCGAACCTCCCAACCACTTGCTTAAGGGATGAGATGCTGAATCAAATCCCTTGTACCAACATCTTGGCGCCTACTTTAGA